AGAGTGCACGCAGGTTTGCCGCTCGTTGAGCCCCCTGCACGGCGCGCCCAGCCTGGGCGAGTATAGGGCCACACGCCCTGCGACGGGACATTTTATTATTTTCTACCCGACGCACTGTCACGTTCCAGACAGCACTGCGTGGTTTTGTTTTCCCCAAGGTCGATGGATGGAAAAAAAATCATCATCCTCATCATCGTCATCGGCAGCAGCAGCGCCATTCTCATCATCATCATCATCATCATCATCATCATCAACATAGTCATCATCATCATCATCGTCATCGTCATCATCGTCGTCGTCGTCATCAGCATCGCCATCCTCGTCCTCCTCCTCCTCCTCCGCCTCCTCGCTCCTCCCGCCTCCCCCAGCCTCCCTCCTCCCTCCTCCCTGCCCCTCCCTCCCCCCTTCCCCCCTCCTCCCTCCTCCCTCCTCCCTCCTCCCTCCTCTCTCCTCCTCCTCCCTCCTCCCTCCTCCTGCCTCCCGCCTCCTCCCCCCTCCTCCCTCCTGCCTCCCCCCTCCCCCTGCTTCCCTCCCCCCTCCTCACTCCCCCCTTCCTCCTCACTCCCCCTCCTCCGTCCTCCCTCCTCCCTCCTCCTCCCCCCCCTCCACCTCTTGCGCTGAGGTGGGGGCGGGAGCGGCCCCTCAGGGTGCCCCCAGGCCCCCGGCCTCCTCCCTCCTCCGACCCCATGTCCGCCCTTCCCATTTTTCCCCGATCTCCTCGGTGAGCCTCTTCTCCGCCTCGCGCCGGGCTGCCTGCGCGTTGGCAGCGATCAGCACCGCCTCGGCCAGCTGGCGCTGAGCTGTGTCGCGCTCGCGGCGGGCCTCGTCGCGTTCGCGGCGCGCCGCCGCGAGCGCCTCTGCGGCCTGCTGCGCGTCGCCGCCGGCGTCGCCGCCGCCGCCGCCGCCAGGAGCTGCGGCAGCCGCGGCCGCGCCGCTGCCTCTGGCCTGGGCCTCCAACTCTCGGATCTTATCTTTGAGTATCGAATACCCTGACGTAGAGCGCCCACTGTCAGGCTTCGCGCAGCCCCCAGCTGCTGGGCAGCTGGGGGGTCAGCACGACGACTGATAGTGGGCGCTCTATCTCGGCCCGAGGGCTTCCAGCGCCCCGTCTTGCCGCTCTTGCCCATGTGCCAAAATGGCTATTGCCCATCGCCACAATTGCCATGGCGATGAAGGGGAAGACGGTGGAAAAAAGGAGGGGGAGGGAGAGGGAGAGAAGGAGGGGAAAAAAGGAAGGGGAGGAGGGAAGGGACGTAGGTGGAAAAGGGGAGCGGGTGGGGAGGAGGAGGAAGACGAAGGTGGAAGGGTAGGGGGGGAGGGGAAGGTGAGGGGGAAGGGGAAGGGAGCGGAATGGGACGATGAAAGGGACGAAGGTGGAAAAGGGGAGAGGGGGGGAAGGCAAGGGGAAGGGAAGGGGAGAGGAGGGGGGGGAGGGAGTCCTTGTCCAATAACCTCTCTAACGACGCTGAAACGGCCCAGTGCGCTAAGGCGATCTCGTGCACGATCCCACATGACTTCCCATCGGGGGCTTGGAAGACTCCAAATGATGTCGGCCTGACTCAGATCGTATATCAAATACTGCTTCGAACTATTTAGGCTACGCGGAACATATCAACAATGGCGGTTCAAAAGAGTGAGCTGCCCCAGCAAGCTAGAAGGAACTTATTCCATGCCGAAGCGGCAATATCACACGACTAGGAATGCCCCAGGGAACTCCTACGAACTCGGACCAGATCTTAGCTAACCTCTCAAGCGAGTTGGGATGTTCGGCACGAACTCAAATATCATCTCACATAGCACAAGTAGCCTCTCCTGTACATGCAAAGGGAAATCACGCTTATCAGAACTCATCTATTTCCATCACGATAAGTCGGAAGTCGGTGCCCTTATAGTTCCACTCTCCCCACTGTCTCCACGGCCCCAACCACTGCCCGACTATCCCCACTGTCCCCACTGTCCCACTGACTCCTCCGCTGTCCCACTGAGCTGTCCCACTGTTCCCACCACTGTCCCCACTGTCCCCACCACTGTCCCCACTGTACCTCTGTCCCATTGTCCCACCGCCGTCCTCGCCACCGCCTTCACCACTGTCCCCACCACCATTGTACCCTCCACTGTCCCACTGTTTCCACCTCATTCCCATTGTCCCCACACCACTGTCCCCACCACCACCGTCACCACCACTGTCCACTGTCCCCCCCTGTTCCCACCATTGTCCCCACCACTGTCCCCACCACTACCGTCCCCACCACTGTCCCACTGTCCCACTGTCCCCACCACTGTCCCGCTATCCCCTCACCACTGTCCCCACCAACACCGTCCCCACCACTGTCCGCACCCCCACTCGGTTTTCGAGGGGGGGGGGTTCGAACCGGTAGTGACCCCCCCCCCTTTTCGATGTTTAGTCCGGGGAGGGGGGGGGAGGGGTTCGAACCGGTAGTGACCCCCCCCGGTTTTCCGGAGGGGGGGGGGGGGAGGGGTTCGAACCGGTAGTGACCCCCCCCGGTTTTCCGCCAGCAGCGGTAGAACACGCTCTTTCCATGATATCCCCCCCCCCCCCTAGTCATCACCCCCCTCTTTGCCGCCCCCGAAAGGGCACTGAGTTGGCTAGGGCCCGAATCAATCGGCCAAAGGGGGCGGGAGGACGAAAGCAACTCCGCTCACATCCGGTCCCCAGACCCATCCCAAGGTCAATCTCGTGCAATGTTTCACCCCAGATCCCTTTTTCACTGCCCCGGAGCCAGAGAAAAGGCCAAGACCTTTTCTCTAACACCTCGAGTCTGCCAAGGGACCCCCCATTCCTGCTGGCCGGAACCAGTGCTGGGCCACCTTAGATTCCCAGCCGACTCCAATCCCCACCACTATCCACCCGCTCTTAGTCATCACCCCCCTCTTTCGACGGCGACGATGAGGGCGACTCATTTGCCGAGAAACCTCACCGAAGACATGAATCATCGGCGCCCCTGGAGCATGTATTGCTTCACCCTGCTGGCATGGGCAAGGGGTCAGCTAAAGGGGCAGGGGGTTATCAGCGGATGCCAAGGTGGCGTCTTCCTGGGCAAACCTAGCTTACAATTGGATTACAACTGCCCCATGTACCCTAGGGAGGGTAGCGATCCGGGCCAAGCGGGCTCCGCTCCCTGGGCGAAGTTATCTAACCCCTGGGGCATGCGTAGCGAACTTGCAAGCTACGTTGGGTCAGACATGAGATAACCCTCCTCTGGCCATCGCTCGGACGTCCATTCCCTGTGTTTTTTTTTTGGTTTCGTGCGTGGCTTTTTCGCCACGTGATCAAGGATGCTCCTCGATGGTCCTCGCCGAAGGACAAATACACACGTCCGAGCGATGCCAAGCCCTCTCCCCCTTGGCAGCCCCCGCGCCCATCCCTGCATCCTCGTCACAGGTGGCTCTCGGGCCATGGCTTGGGCCTCTGGCGGCCGTTCGGAACGATCTGGGCACCCGGAGTACGCAATCTGCCAGGCGCAGCCGCTGGAAGGCACCCCGAGGCTGGAAAAACCGCAGAGGACCGACGAACACGTCCGAAAACCCGGAACCCGAAACTGTCCCCTTCACAGCCCCCGCGCCCATGCCAGTGGCCAATTCTCTTGAGCAGGTGCCCACCGTCCTGGCATTCCAATCGGCCAATCAACCACGGCATGTTCTTATTATACAAAATGCTCTCACGACGAACCCAATGTTCATAACACATATTGATTACCCATTCTTGATTACATCAAGACTGCCTCAGTCAAAAATGCTCTAAGAACATTTCCTGGACACCACCACATAAACTTAGAACATTCTATGGTGGGCGCTTCGCCACTGCTTAATTCACCCCGACTGGGGAAACCAAAAGGTACCGATACCACTACTCCCCGAACCTCTCCCGGGGCGCGTGCTGACCAGGATTCCGAGGCGACTCCACCGGTGTCGACGAAGACCTCTCAGGAGGCCAGAAAAGGGAAAATCCGAGGCAGAAAAGCGGTATCGGTATCGGAGCCCTCTCCTCCCCTTAGAGCAGGGACCGACCATCCCGGCATTCCTCTAGTCCTACCACGCAATGTTCTTAGAACTCAAAAATGTTCTAATAACAAAACTATGTTCTTATAGTATTAACCCGATGTGTGAAATCAAGGCAGACTCAACCAGAAACGTTCTCAGAACATTTCGTGCAACCCACAAAAGGTTATGATAACATTTTTTGGTAGGCCTATAGGCACTCCAAGACGCTTCGACACTGCTTGACCTCTGACCCATCGGCGCGTCTGACCATTTCGGGGATCTGCTGACCCGGGTCAATCCAGACCCGGGTCAATCAGGCCTTGCAGAATCCTTCAAAATCCTGCAAGATCCTGCGCCCAAACCTGGGTCAGCGCGAAGGATCCTGCAAGAACCTGCAGGATCCTGCGCCCAAACCCGGGTCCATGCGACCCTGGCTCTGCAGGATCCTGCAAGATCGTGCGCTCTGGCCGACCCCCCTTTGCATTGACCCCCGTCTCTCGAGCCCCGTGATTTTTCCAATGCGCGGTCCCCGGAAGCCTCGACCCATTCCCCATGCAGGACCGGCTTCTCATCCCGAGTCGTTTCTTGACGGCCCCACGGCCCGGAGAGGCCCCCTGGGGGCCGACACTTGCGAACAAAAACCTCCGTCTCGATTTTTGTCAGTGCGCTGGCTCTCTGGGTCTGACCGATCCTCGCGATCTTGCGAACGTTCAGCCACATGTTGGAAAAGCCTGTTTGCGCTTTGATTAAATAACTACATGCCTAATTACCCAGACCCCCGACGTCATGATTTTTTCATGACGTCGACCCCCCGAGGTCTCGACCCATTCCCCGGGACCGGTTTTTCGTCCTCAGTCGTTTTTTGACGGTCCCGAGGGCTGGTAAGGGCCGCCAAAGGCCAAAAATAATGAAAAACCTCCCGTCGTGATTTTTTCAAAACTCGAGGGGGTCTGGGTAGAGCAGATTGGACCCTCAAGGTTGGCCGCCCCCCGGCGGACCGGCCGCGCAGCCCGGAGCCCGGGGCGGCGCCCGCGCGCGGCGGCAAGAGCGGCGCCGGGCCGGGCGGGCGCCCCTGGCGGGCGGGCGGGGAGGCGAGGGGCCCCCCTTTGTGCAGGCCCGGAGCCGCCGACGCGTGCCTCGCTGGCAGGAGGAGGAGGAGGAGGAGGAGGAGGAGGAGGAGGAGGAGGAGGAGGAGGAGGAGGAGGAGGAGGAGGAGGAGGAGGAGGGGAGGAGGAGGGTGGTGAGGAGGGTGAGGAGGAGGAGGTGAAGGAGGAGGAGGTGAGGGGGGTGGAGGAGGAGGAGGAGGGGGAGGAGGAGGAGGAGGAGGAGGAGGAGGAGGAGAGGAGGAGGAGGGGGAGGGGGAGGAGGAGGAGGAGGAGTGGGGGCGCGGGAGGCCGCAGGGTGCTGCACCCTATAGGAGATGATGGTCGGGCGTGTGCACCTGCAGGTGGGGCTCAAGGGCGAGAAATAAAAAAGCAGACAAGAGATACGCCAACACACATGCAGAGGAGGTCACATCCCCGAGCCATGTTTTGGACTGTTTTTGGCTATTCTCCCTGCAGAGGGACACCATAAAGAATTATCTCCGCAAAACAACCTAACAGCGATGTGTACAAGCATATCTGGAAGCATTCCCCTTAAGATTGAGATGAGAATCCAGTTGTAGAATTCTGCAGTTCTCGCAATCACAGTCGCATTCGCGATGACAGTCGCAGTGGCAACGGCAGTCGCAGTCACAGCCTCAGCCTCAGCCTGCCTCAGCCTCAGCCTCAGCCTCAGCCTCAGCCTGCCTCAGCCTCAGCCTCAGCCTGCTTCAGCCTCAGCCTCAGTCTGCCTTCAGCCTCGGCCTCAGCCTCAGCCTGCCTCAGCCTCAGCCTGCTCAGCAGCCTCAGCCTCAGCCTCAGCCTGCCTCAGCTCAGCCTGCCTCAGCCTCAGCCTCAGCCTGCCTCAGCCTCAGCCTCAGCCTGCTTCAGCCTCAGCCTCAGTCTGCCTTCAGCCTCGGCCTCAGCCTCAGCCTGCCTCAGCCTCAGCCTGCATCAGCCTCAGCCTCAGCCTCAGCCTGCCTCAGCCTCAGCCTCAGCCTCAGCCTCAGCCTGCCTCAGCCTCAGCCTCAGCCTGCTTCAGCCTCAGCCTCAGTCTGCCTTCAGCCTCGGCCTCAGCATGCCTCAGCCTCAGCCTGCATCAGCCTCAGCCTCAGCCTCAGCCTGCCTCAGCATCAGCCTGCCTCAGCCTCAGCCTCAGCCTGCCTCAGCCTCAGCCTCAGCCTGCTTCAGCCTCAGCCTCAGTCTGCCTTCAGCCTCGGCCTCAGCCTCAGCTGCCTCAGCCTCAGCCTGCATCAGCCTCAGCCTCAGCCTCAGCCTGCCTCAGCATCAGCCTCAGCCTCAGCCTCAGCCTGCCTCAGCCTCAGCCTCAGCCTCAGCCTCAGCTGCTTCAGCCAGCCTCAGTCTGCCAGCCTAGCCTCAGCCTCAGCCTCAGCCTGCCTGCCTCAGCCTCAGCCTCAGCCAGCCTCAGCCTTCAGCCTCAGCCTGCCTCAGCCTCTGCCTTCAGCCTCAGCCTCAGCCTCAGCCTCAGCCTGCCTCAGCCTCAGCCTGCATGAGCCTCAGCCTCAGCCTCAGCCTGCCTCAGCATCAGCCTGCCTCAGCCTCAGCCTCAGCCTGCCTCAGCCTCAGCCTGCTTCAGCCTCAGCCTCAGTCTGCCTTCAGCCTCGGCCTCAGCCTCAGCCTGCCTCAGCCTCAGCCTGCCTCAGCCTCAGCCTCAGCCTCAGCCTGCCTCAGCATCAGCCTGCCTCAGCCTCAGCCTCAGCCTGCCTCAGCCTCAGCCTCAGCCTGCTTCAGCCTCAGCCTCAGTCTGCCTTCAGCCTCGGCCTCAGCCTCAGCCTGCCTCAGCCTCAGCCTGCATCAGCCTCAGCCTCAGCCTCAGCCTGCCTCAGCATCAGCCTGCCTCAGCCTCAGCCTCAGCCCTCAGCCTCAGCCTCAGCCTGCTTCAGCCTCAGCCTCAGTCTGCCTTCAGCCTCGGCCTCAGCCTCAGCCTGCCTCAGCCTCAGCCTGCATCAGCCTGAGCCTCAGCCTCAGCCTGCCTCAGCATCAGCCTGCCTCAGCCTCAGCCTCAGCCTGCCCTAGCCTCAGCCTCAGCCTTCTTCAGCCTCAGCCTCAGCCTCAGCCTGCCTCAGCCTCAGCCTGCATCAGCCTCAGCCTGCATCAGCATCCGCCTCAGCCTGCATCAGCATTCAAAATGTGGCCCGGGAATGGAGTTCTGGGAACTCGAAGAACACGAAGTGGCCTACAGTTGGCTCCAGGCATTCAAAATCATGCCCAGGAATGGAGTTCTGGGAACTCGAAGACCACGAAGTGGCCTACAGTTGGCTCCGGGCATTCAAAATCATGCCCAGGAATGGAGCTCTGGGAACTCGAAGACCACGAAGTGGCCTACGGTTGGCTCTGGGCATTCAAAATCATGCCCAGGAATGGAGCTCTGGGAACTCGAAGACCACGAAGTGGCCTACGGCTGGCTCCGGGCATTCAAAATCATGCCCAGGAATGGAGTTCTGGGAACTCGAAGACCACGACGAGCGTTAGTGTTGGCTAAAAAAGGCGTCCCCGGTTTTCCCCGGCATCCCCCGGATCCTGCCCAGACCCCCCTGGGGAATCAGGATGCTCTCTTTTGACCCCACCAGAAACCCATCAGTCTTCGCCTTTTAGGTACAACAAGCATGCAAGAGATACGCCAACACACACTCAGAGAAGGTCAGAATATCGTCCGCGACCGATGTGTTGGACTATTTTTGAGTACTCTTCCTGCAGAGGGACACGCCCGACTTAAGCTGAGATCCCGGCGTCGCAATTTTTCCGGGCCGGGCGGTTTCGCCTGGGCTCGGGCCCCCGGGGTTCCTCGCAGATCGATGCAGCTCGAGGCATGCCGCAGCAAGCCGGGGTATACGCGGGGCTCTGGTCGCCATTGCTCGCGATGCTGCGGCTCTCTGGCAGCGGCTCGCTCTCGGGGTCTGGCACCACCCCTCTCATCGCACCCAGCTGCGCGCACCACCCCCACCTCGCCATGGCTCGGACGTCCATCCCCTGTGTTTTTTGCCGGTTTCGTGCGTGTTTTTGTCGCCAGATGATCAAGGATGCTCCTCGATGGCCCTCGCCGAAGGAAAAGTGCACACGTCCGAGCGATGCCAAGCTACTCCTGGGGGGGGCCCCTGGGCGGTCATGGCGTCTCAGGTGGTGCTGCGCTGGCACGGTGGCGGAGTTGCCAGACTCAACTGGATGGCAAGTAGGCAACGACGCCAGTGGCAGCAGCGTCAGAAGAGCCCAACACCGAACCGATATGTCGGATCGGCGATGGAAAGGAATCGGACGGACCGGCGGAAATCGGCAGCCAAGATGCGCAGGAGAAGTTGAATCGGTAGAGATCGGCAGGCTAACAAAAAGTCCACTGAGAAATCAGAACCCAACTCGGAATCCGAAATCAAACCGAATCGGAATCGAAACCCACCGAGATTAGGGCGAGGAATCTATACACATCCGCTGTTCCCTGGCCTGGCCCATCCTGAACACATTAGCCATGTATACGCCACGCCCTCCTGGCTTGGCCAGGAGGGCTATACAGAGCTCCTGGGCCCAGGAAGGGTTGGGCCAGGGGGCAGTGGGTATGTATAGATTTCGGCGCTCGAAATAAAATCGACCCGAGTCGGAGGAATCGAAATGGACCCTGCAGGACGGCACCAAGACCTGAGAAAATCGGTCCAAGGGGGATGAAGCCAGATCCGCTCAAAATTGCTTCCTGGACCCCTCCTGGGGCCTATCTGGTTTGGATCCGTTTTTCGCTGCCCCAGGGGCCCGAAAGCAACCCCCAGAAGCCGAAACGGGCAAACAACAATTCCAGAACCCCGGACCTAGCATCTGCCCGCCCTTCCTGCTGGACCGGACCAGTGCTGGGCCACCTCGGAACCCCCAGCAGGCTCTGATCCCAGACCCCCGACGTCATGACTTTCTCATAACGTCGACCCCCAGGAGGTCTGGACCCCTTCCCCTGGACCGGTTCTCCATCCTGAATCGTTTCTTGACGGCCCCGAGGGCCAGTGAGGACCTCCAGAGGCCGAACATGAGGACAAGCCTCACGCCATGAGTTGTTCCTTGCCCGAGGGGGGACTCTGGAGAAGAAGCCACCGAACGAAACCGACTGCGACACGACCGAGCCTACCGCACCGTGAGCATGATGATGCTTCAACCTACTTTAGCCTTGATCACCAGAAAGAATTTCGAGCATCAAGAACGTACCACAATTAGAGGGCTTTCACGTGTCGGGCCCTGGGAGGCGATACTTCCTCGACACTGCTTCGACACTTCTCTGGGTGTTCGAAATGATTTCTGGGATTTGGTCCTTGAGTACGATGGGAGCAACATAACAAGGAAGAGAGAAAACGCCATAACCAGAAATTTTTGGCGCTCCGCGCGGATTTCTTCGATTTGCGCTGCACCCCTCCCTGGCGCGCAGAAAGCGCCAGGGGCGGTGCCGGAGGCGCCGCTGGGGGGGCCCAGCGCGGATCCGGCGCTGGAGGCGCCGCCGGGGGGGCCCAGCGCGAGTCCAAGAAATCTGCGCGGAGCGCCGAAAGTTTATGTTCGTGGCGTTTCTTCCTCTTCGACATGCACGATGGAAGCAACATAACGTGAGCACCCTTTCTGGGCGCTGGCAAAACTGGGTTTCGTGGGACCCGGTCGAGGAATTTGTACTGGGGGACGCCCCCCCGCCCCCTTCCACTGACCGGAACTGCCGTCACCCGGAAAAGCACCAACTGCGGCAGACCTGGTTGAGCGACTCCGGCCAATTTAGGGCTCCGGGGCCCTACCACCAACCGGGTCCCCTTGCCTGGGGTCCTGGCCATACCCGAATATAGGCGAGCGCGTTCCACTACTCGCAACTGGCCTGGATCCGCCGCGGGGGATCTACGATACATTGCGTCAGAGCCGGCATGTGGTTGTCGGACGTTTGCGCGTAGGCACGTTGCGAGTAGTGGAACGCGCTCAGTGCGAATATTGAGCAGGGGTCGACCGTCCCGGCATTCCTAT